ATCCGATCCATCCCAGAGGAGAAGAAAAGGTATCCATAACTTACAAGCCATGCAATTTCCCAGACAGCCAAGTGCCCTTGTAAGTTGCATCTTTGTAGAGGCCAGCCTTGAAAAACGTATGTGAAGCCTGTCGGATGAGGGGTGGGGTAAAGCGTTCTCCGCTGCTGTGGTGACTCGGGATGGACTTCTGATTGGTCAGTACTTTGCTGATGGCGGAGTTGAACGCTATTAACCACTCAGCCTGGGTAAGAGTAAAGAAGTCATTAATAATTTCAATAAAAAATATTACACTCACATTTCTCAATGCCTTAAAATAGATTGTTTCTTTTTCTGTCTGCTACTCTTCCTTGTTCAATTTTGTTTTCTCAACTAAGATGGAATGTTTTGAGGTGAAAAGAAAGCCTATTTTTTAAATATTCATGACCATTGGATCTTAGTACTTCATTCATTATACATGCAATACAAAATTGTAATGGGAAGATCTTTAAAAAAAAAACCAACACTTATTAAGTATATTATTTTTTATCCTTAAAAATATGCTTCCCAATGCATGAAGTCCATTCTGTCCTGTCCCAGACTAAGGCCCTGAGATCAAAGAATTAGCATCCAAAAAGCACTAGAAGTCATAATACCCTTTGTGTTTATCTCGATAGAGGATTGGAATACTTGCAGACATCTGCAGTTGGCGCTGACATTGCTGGGGCAAAAGACAACAGGAAATCTCCTGCACAGAAACTAACCATACCAGTTGAGGGATATAAATACAGTGAAAATTGTTTAGGATGGCCACCCATTGTCAAGGAGAAAAGTAGCCATCTTAGACAAGTGGCCAAATTACACAGCGCCATTAAAATGTTAAAAAGAAACATAACGGAGAAATGAAAAGTGGCTGTTTGCACAAGTGATTTCCTTATACAGGCGGCCGTTAGAGAAGGTTCAATAGCAGTATGCTGTCCAAAAAAACAGGGAGCATGCTCTCCTGGTGGTGGGTGGCTACTCATATGGCAGTAACACTTTGGTGAAGAGGCAGCACATTTTCTCTGAGCTTGCAAAGTCTTCTGCTCAGCTCTTTACCCTGCAAATCTAATGTCCATGGATTCCATTCAACAAAATAACCTGCCTTCAAAATGAACTGAGTCTAGTAAGGCAATAAGTTACACACTTTCCTCCCCCCTCATAAAAAATCTAATATAACGAGATGAGTAAGAGAGGCAATCACCTTCTGTGCTGGGCTGGATGTGGTCAGCTCATAACGCTCTTCTGGCACAATGATAGTAATATTGTTTCTGAAAACACAAAAGTAAAATATTTAAGTAGGCAACTAAGAGGAAGTACAAACAGCTAGGGCATCAGTCACGGTGCACCGGCAGTGGAATTTTAGTTGCAGCGGGGGGTTCCCCGCCGAGCGCCATATCAAGTCGGGGTCACGGTGGTCAGCAACTTGTCGCCACTCTGTCTGGGCTGACTTGATTTTTGGAACTTTTCAATGTACAATTTTAGTACATGGTAGTTATGGTAATTATCATTTAATGCACCCAAAGCACGCATTTCTGCTCTTGAGACAAAAAAAGACCGACACTGTAACTTGTCGGGTTATTTCGTTAGACGTGCTGAAGTCGGCAATGCTAACTGTAAAACTTTTTGGACAAGTGTGAATGAAAAAAAATCAATTAAATAAAACAACCGGCATGACAAAACTGTAGAACATTTGGAACATGAAGGACATAATATTGGTCCAGATACTCAGAAAAGATGGTACCTGTGCATATAATAGAAAGCTGTAATTTTGCAAATTTATCCACCTGGCACACAATTCGCTATGAAGTAATTCCTCCAAATACAAATTTATGTGTCTAATATAATCGTAAATATTCGCATATTTTCACAAAAGTTTATAAAAATTACCCTGTAGTCTCTCTAAGAAGTAATACAAATCAATTTTAGTGCCACAATACATCTACAAAACAACAGTATCTGTTAGTGTTACTCTCCAGAAATACCTTACTTTTCTTAAATCTTTATCTCCGGCAAGCCACTCCCAGCGGCTCGCGGTCGGAACCACTCTATCGGTGAGCCGCTGACAGCGGCTTGGGCACATTCCTTTTCGACGACTTCGACATCAAATTACTTTTCGGCAAAAGTCGAAAACATGTCTCTTATACAAGAACTTCATTCATTAGACGAAGAACTATCAAAATAAGTTTGCTAGTTTCAATTTAATGACGCATTTAATGACGGTTTTGTCATTATTAGATTTAGCACCAAAAAAGGACTCTGGCATAGCGGGTTTACCCCCCTCGGAAATAAATTAAAGAGTAAAAACGGGAAGTCTAGGTTTTGTAAGTTGACTGAATAACATGGCATGGATGACTTCTCGTAATTGGGTTTTCAGAATAATTTCTAGCTTTCCAATGACACTGAATCAGCACCAGACATTTCCAGCTTTTATTTCCGTATCTATGACCATTTGCAATAACTGACAATGTTCTAATTTCTTTACATTCATAAGTGTCCGTGCATATTTCCGACACAAAAACTAAGAATGACTGTGTTAGCTGTCATTATTTTTTATTCCACATAAGAAGTTTATTTCTATCTACGTATTTACACAGTTTTGTGTTTTTTAAAAATCACATATTTTTCTTAGTTGTATGCAGCATGATTCATGAACAAACGCAGAGTAACTTTCTCATGTTTAATGGTAAAACAAGAGCTAACGCTGAGTGTCTTTAGTTTAAAAAATGCAGACGTGCATCTTCCTTCTCTTGAAACTAGACTCTTACTACTTGCGCAGATTTAAGATTTCTCATGGTAAAAGACATCGCCCCTGCAGGTGGGGGTCCCATAATTTTACTATGGGGGAGTAAAGAATACACCTGCCGCGATACTGCGTGTCGTAAGAGGCGACTGAAGGTGCATAGGTCTGGCCATCCGAAAAGTGACAGTTTGCGGATGGCCAACTACCCGACCCAGTAAAAAAAAGAAAGTTATAGAAACACGAACAAACATGTCTTATAATTTTTCCATCTTGGGAGACGGAGGAGCTTTTGCATCAGCAGGAACAATGAAGGACAGAGAAAAGTGGGAAGACATGGAGTGACATCAAGCGACTAGCCCAGGATAGGGAAAGGTGGAGAGTGTATGTTCGTGGCCTATATCCTGACCCAGGGTAAGAAAGGCAATGATGATGATGATGGTAAAAGCCATGACATTCGTAGTCAGTTTAAGACAGATTTTGGAGAGACCATTCGGGCCGTTTTTAAATAAACAATCATTTATTCACAAGTTTGAAACTAAAATAGGACAAACTGGGTACTCTACAAACACTCTAGACCAAAAACTAAGGCACAGAAATTAACCATTCTAATGCAGAATAAATCTCAAAACATTGAGCTTTCAGTACAACAGTGTAATGATTTGCTGTGTGGGATGGGAGAAAAAGTTATAGCGTTTCAAACGTAGACAAAAATGCAAACTTTTTAACCGACACCGGCAAAGTCGCTTCAGGTCTAATTAAGCCCCTGACCTGAGCCGAGGGAGCTCCTGCGGGCTGCTGAGTCAGACTAACTAAAAGTAACAGAATCGGACGAAAAGTGACACCATGCAGTACATTGCTGAACTTCAAGTTAAAGAAAATTCATAAATATGAAATATCAAATAATTTGACACAAACACAGAAACAAGGGCTTTTGCTAGAGTGATTCAAACATTTATCTCAAAGTGATGTTACATACATCTTGATCTGTACCTCAAGTACAAGGTACAGACTGCGTCAGGTGCAATCTACAAAAGTCTGTTTGTGTGTGAAGCAATTCTGCCTACAAGATAAACTCTTGCCCTGAAAACAAAGGGAAAGCCCAAAAAGCTCCAAAACACGTGAAGTAGAATTTTAGAATCAGATACATTTTAGTCCTGTCTTTTGTAAAATAAGTTTTTCCTGAGCAGACAACTCTGCAACCGACAACATCACTTTGATGGGCCTCTAATTTAAAAAATCACATACAGATGCACTCACTGCTGGTCACTGTTAGAGCTGCCAGACTCCACCCACACAGTCTCCAGGGGATATTTGGTCAGTCCAGTGTTCTGGGGACACAGGCAAACATTGTAGCTTTATCCATCATCATGTTTGTGAAGGGGAAAACTAGACAAGACATCACATCATTGTTAATCAAGTTTGTAACCTGGAAAACATTTGCAACAAAAGGAAGACATTGTAACATTATCCTCATGCCTGTTATGTGGAAATATTTCAGAGTCAAGAAGACATTGTAGCACATTTATTATGCTTGTATGCCTCTACCTCGTTGTCAAAGACATCAAACGTGTGCCACAGTTTAAAAGACAAAAGAAAAAATCTTGTGACCTGTAAATACATCTCTGCTTAAAAAATGCACAAGATCAAATGCATGTTTATCATTCTCTTCTCTGCTTGGTTGAAAGTATTCAGTTTTTTAAATTCCCCTTTTGATTTCCTTTAACACATTTCATTTGGTTTGTAATGTGCAATATTTTGCTAAAAAAATCGGTAAATCAGTGGACAATACCTGGAAATGCATGAATACGTCATCAAAGAGGACAAAAATGTGAGATGTGAACCGGCCTGCTGCCAGCCAGGAGATGGGATGAGCCTTGCTGTCCCTCAACACTCTACGGGATGGAATCCGCATGGCATCCTGGAATGGTATCAAAATGGGTAAAATTCTTTGTTACAAGGCACACACTTGTGAGAACTAAAACCAACAGTAGCCAGCCATGCTCCTAAAGGGTCAACCCACCATGGGAAGGTTGGTCGCAAACTTGTCAAAACTAAACACTGATTCAGTTATTCTCACTAGTTTCAACTTTCTTTTCTTCACAACTTTCTCATAAATATACAATAGTACTTTAGAGATGAGATTTTCGTTTTGTCAAAGTTGTTGTTATCGATCCAGGATTTTGTCAAAGAAAAAAAGAAGTATTTAAAGCAAGACAAGTCTTAATGGCACAGATAAATCTTGATGTACACTAGAGATCCTATCCAGCAAAATTGCATTGCTATGGAGAAGGAATTATAGGATAGGGCATTCCCCCAGAGCAATTGTTGTTATTTTAATTTCCGTAGAGGTTATACGGCGCTCGCAACTGCATATCGTCATATGAGCGCCAGAAGATTAGAAGTGTTACAAGAGAGTAACAACCATAAAAAAGAAGAAGGGGAGATAAGGACGATAGATGTTTGATAGGAAAGAAGAAGCAGACCACACCATAGCACCTGCCAACCACCTACTGCGATCGTTGTGTCTGACTTGCCAACTTAACTGACAGAAAAGAAACCTTCATAGACACTATACCACTTTACTGGGCTGATGCCAACACAAAAAGGTATGACTTACTGCCACCCGAGGATGCGCTGTATCCCAAAATGCTCGAGTAGCATCAGCCATCTTGTGCTCCGAGGCCATCTGTAGTTTGGTGCTGTCCCAGTCCAGTGTGATAGAGGACAGGTGACTCTTCAGCTCACTGTTCTGAAACTAAGGCCGAGAGAAAACAATACATGAGTACCAAGAGAAAAAAACAAATTAAATCAGCAGTAAAAAAATGTTTGTGAAAACCTTTAAGAGTAAAAGATTGTCAAGGTCCAGGGACATGGTCAAAAGATAAAAATGAGACAAAACGGGAATGAGCACTTTAAACTACAACAAACAAGCATGTAAGGAGATCACTAACAATAACAGGTGAGCAGGGTCTGGAGGAATTTTTTTTTAAGTCTGCATTATTGCATCTGAAAAAATGGTGAAATGGTATGGGTTTAACGCCCCTATCAACACAATTATATTATTTAAGGGGCGGGACCTCCTAGTTTAACGTCCGTCTCCGATAGGACCGAGCCAAGTGGGAAGTTCGTGTAAAGTGCCTTTCCCAAGGACACAACGTCGGACCGAGCTGGGGCTTGAACCCCCGAACCCGCAATCTCACGATTACGAGTCTGGTAGCCTAGTAGGTAGCCTAACCACTAGGCTACCGACACCACCGTTATTGCATCTGGTGATGAGCCAAAATAAGCAGAGAACAAAATCAGTTGCATTGAAGAGAAGTAGAGAAAAAACAAAAAGTAAAAAAAAGACCCTTATGAGAAACTTAGCACCTCTTCAGCATTCTTTGCCTTTATTTGCCAGTATTTGATTTAATTCTGCTGCAGGTAAATATTTCATGCACTTTCTTCCCACACATGAAGCTACAAGCCAAGGCTACATCTGGCCAGAAGTTGACATCCACACAAAACAATTAGCCAGCTGCCAAGGGGAGGTAGGAAAGAAGTTTTCTCATTATCCTTTTATCAGGCAAAACAGAGAAATCCTTGGCACTAAATGCAAAAGGAGCAAAGACCCATCAATTTTTATCAATCGTGTAGATAAGTGGAACTCAAGTACCTCAGCTTGATTGTACACGAAAAACATAATTGATACAGTTATGCCATCATAAGCAATGGATAAGTTCTGTGTTAAGCCTAAAAAAGAAATGCATTCTTAATAGTAGATAGAACAATTACTTGACTCAAGTTTAAAAGCGAATATAACTTTACTGTAATCATTCTTAGTCCCCATCCACACAACTTAGATCATTTATAGGCGGAGATGCTTTATAAAATGTCTTTCTCTCATGGGAACTGAATTTATTGGCAGCTTAGTGTAAGACTTTGCTAAGTTAGTTTTTAGTTTTAGAAGAGGTTTTACGGCATTCACAACTGCATAAGGTCATATGAACGCCAAGGGGTGGATGTCAACAGAGAAGTCCTTACAGGGAATCAGACTTACTCTGCTCACCTCTCTAACTTCAACAGCACAAAGTCTGCTTCGACTATCAAGGCACCTCGGAAATAGAGGGTCACAAGAGCGTGACAAACTTACAAAAGAAGTAGAGGAAAATGACAATAGTAAGGATTAGGAAAGAAAAAGCAGCAGTTCCCTGTTGTAGATTAGGCACAGTTATGAGAGTGACATTGATGAATAAGCCCATTTACCATTCTACATCTTCATGAACGAGAAATGTCCCCCTCTAGGGAATGGCCTAAAGACACTTCAGTCAGTGGCACTGCCCCGAGAGGAAATGTAAGACTCTGCAAACGCCATTTTCAAAAGTGACGTATGAAGGAGTCTTATACTGAGTAGTATTTTGCACATCAGGCAAAGAGCCAAACCATTACATCCCAGACGTGTTTTTTTTTTTAATATCCTAATCGAGTGCAAGTTATAAGAGCAATTACAAGGTCTGAGAAAAGAACTTCAGCCCTGAAATAGTGGCTGTCTTGTTAACACTAACCCATCATCAAAACCCTACCTCTGTAGCTGCTGCCATTTTTGTGATGATCCGTGCATACTCAACCAGTCGGAAAAATGGGTAGCGCATGGCACGCAGGAAGAGGGTGCTGGCTGCGACTGATTTGTCCCGTTCCTCTGAGAGGTCACGGATCGACCCCTGAATCTTCTCAAAGAAGTTGCTGGTATTACATACGGGAAAAGAAAAAGAGAAACATACAATTTTTAACAGAGAAAAGGAAATACAAACAATGCTGATATAAATAAGTCCTTGAAATTGTACTCAAATTTAAACTTGCATTTCCAATATCAAACTTTTGTATTTTCAATAATTGAAATGACTTTCAGTTCTCCTTTAAGAAAAGATTATTTCGGGCATCAAAATGAAGCTTTCAGTAGCAAAACTCATTGTCTTAAATTAAGTGAATGAAGGGAAGGGGGGGGGGGGGGAGGGATTTTAGCAATCTGTAAACAGCAAAACAAAAGAAATCAAAATTTAAGGGAAAGGATACCAGGAAAGGCGAGGGCCTACTATAGCTAAGAAAGGCAAAGAAAGGCAGAGAAGAGAGGAGACCTCAGGAAGTCGGTGAAAAGCATTTCAGTAGAGGCCGATATTAATAATAATAACAACAATAACACAATCAATAATAACAATAATGCTAAGAAATCTTAGCAATTTATACCATTCATAACAAAAACAATGTGAATACATGCAAAATACTGTTTAAAAAATACATCTGTGTGCATACCCTCTAGTATAATTCATTCTCTTTCTCTCTCATCCCTTCTTTCACTCTATCTCTCTCTCTTTTTCTGTGTGTTCGTATGTGTGTTTATCAGTCTGGTGCTATCAATGACAGATTATAAGCAAAGACCACAATATTGATCCTTGTGGAGAGACTTATTTTGCAATAACATACGTGGCAATCAAGTAAAGAAGAACTTCACACATAATTCAAGATTTAACCTTGCAAGGTTAATAATAACAAGGCAGAAACCTAGCAAGGTTAATATCAACGCAGACAAACCCCTGACTTCCCTTAAAATCCTCTACATAATCAAATGGAAGCGGTAGGATTCCGAGAATACTTCTAAAGCAAAAAAGTTAAAGAATGCCCCAAAAGATGTATGAACCAAGGTCACCAACACGGTACAGCAATACATTAAAAAGAGCTAACAGTGTCCATCATGACTGTATAGTTCGGTGGGAGAATAATACCTGCATGTTAGGTACAAGGAACAAACACTGTTGTGTAGAAAACTGCTCCCTCTACAAAGTCATTTACAAGTGTGAGGCAACATGGTGAAAACAGGAGCTTGCCAAAACAACGAAATCTGGGAAACGGGCATTTTTCCACCAGTTTGGAAATTTTTATCAAATTTTTATTTTTTTGCTTAACCTCTTTTTTTATGTCCATGTAAAAACACATTTCCACATGAATTTTACTAAAAAAAACATTGATTTAAGTCTCAAAATATGTCATTTTTCAGTTTTCAAAGACTCTTTAGCTATCGGAGTTAATGGGTCACTTAGTGCAGGGAAAAAGCAAGACACAGACACAAGAAAAGTAGGAACTGCTGGTGGCAAACTCCAAACAGCCACTTCAAAAACTACACCTGATCTCCAACTCCCTTTACGGATACACAAAGAGACTTTAGAAGACAAGTACCAACCACAACACTTATGTAGGCTGACAAAACGCCTTTTTTTATTCTCAGTAGTTTCGAGACAAAAAGACTGGTCAGCGTAACCGTAAAAGAAAAGGCGTTCTTCCGAAATTTGAATTCTAAACTATTAAAAAACTAGTCACAGTTTCACTTTTGATTTTTTCACCCATGTAGGGTAACTGGTCAGTTATCGCTTTAGCAAATAAAAAAATTTGGTGCAAAAAATGAAAAAAGGTGTTTTTAGGGCAGAACATGGCATCAAACAAAACCGTGAAAGCCCATCGGCAGCATGAACAGTCAGCTTAGGGCAGAACATGGCATCAAACAAAACCGTGAAAGCCCATCGGCAGCATGAACAGGAGCAACAAGAACAACGAGAATAAAAGGAACAACAACAAGACAAACGTATGCCTCACCTGCCTGCCCTAGTACAGTACTCAAAGCCACCGACAGCAAGGAAGTCAGAGAAGGCCTTGGAGTACTGTGTAAATGCCTGCTGCTGCTGTGTGTGTGCTCCGAGCAGTAGCGTGTGCCGGATGGGACGCATGGCCTGGATGGCTGCCGTCAGGTCTGTGATGCCTTCACCTATCTGGTGTGGGTTTGTTTATTGGTCAATTTATTTGTTTGTAGGAGTATAAGAGAGGCATGATTTCCTTTTGTTTTGGGGGAAGCTAGAACCTTTTAACTCTATCCCTACGTCGTGTTTTACTATCGTATCCGTAGGACGTGGGGAACTCTGTGCCACCACTTTCCAAAGAGGAAATTTACTTGTTAATTTGATCCGTACGCTTTGCATAGCAGTCTGTCAAAACGATTTTTTAAGAAATACTGAAAGTTTCAAAGAGATCTTCGTACTAGAAGTATTCTAAAATGTGAAGAATACAACCTCGGGGGTACAAAATGACCCTAGGGATTAAGACACTTTTTATTTATTTTTCCATCTGTTCAAATCTCTTACATGGTGATCAGTCTGGTATTGGTAAAGAAAAAAATAAATCCCCCAAAAATCACATTTGATGCTCCCCTTTGAAATGATCTTTTATTAGCTTAGCAGGGTTACACCTAACTTGTAGAAAAATCCTGTTCTTAGAGTAAATGAAGGAAAATTGTCTATAAATTATCTATTCCTGACAAAAAAAACAGATAATTTTGATGTACAACTGGTAACAGCACCAACATACTAAACCAAAAGAATATGAATATACCCTAAGCACTCATATGACCTTATGTAGTGGTAAGCGCCGTAAAACTCTTACTAAATTTAACTAAATGAATATACCCTGAGGTTAACCATAATGACTTCCCTTACCCTCTTGGTCAAAGCTCCAAAAGCTGCCACCAGGTTCTGCAGAGATGATTTGTATGGGAATACGTCCATGGCAGAGTAGAAGGCTGTTGGAGAGACATACAAAACACACCAGTGACATGAATACTGTAAAAAATTTATAGCCGTTTTACACCCCCATTGACAAAATTTAGGACTTGTAGTAGGCGAGATGCTATTACCCTGCTTGTCAGAACCAACCTAGACGGAGTGTGACACAGCATCCCAGCAGACAGACAGACAGACAGACAGAGATATTTGACAAAAAATTCCCCACTATGGAATTGAGCATAATGTTCTCATCTAGCGACAACAAAGAGCATCACCATTACACTACAAATGCCAGTCAAAGATATAAACTGTTGAAAGTTTGTCAAAGGTTTCACACACACACACTCACTCACACACACAGACACACATATATCAGCAGACAAACAGAGATATTTGATTTTTAAAATTCCCCACTAATAAATTGAGCATTTTTGTCCTCATCTAGAGACAACAAAGAGCATAACCATCATATTACAAATGCCAGTCAAGGATACAGCCACTGAATGAAATATAAACTGTTGAAAGTTTGTCAAAGGTTTCACACACACACACACTAATTCACACACACAGACACACACACATATACACTGCTACCCAAGGTACCCCGATTCCTCTTCAGAATAAAATCTACCTATAACTGTTTTTGTATCATAATTATTGTACGTTATACAAACAACATCAATTGAGACTTCAGGATAGAATTCTAAAAATGATATATTATATGTGTCACGATACAGTGGATTCAGGTGCTCATCAATTTTAGTGCATGTGGGGACACTGGTACCATCTTAAAGCTTGTTTCTTTGTCTTGATTTCGATGAAAAAAAACACACATCTATCTTGAATAGAAGTCGAGATATTTGCAATTGAAAAAGGTGATGGTTGCCTGGTGAGAAAACGGCTAGCTGCCAAAGTTTCGTGATTTCAGAAGCTTTAGAGTCCTTAGAAATTGAAAATTTACATTTTGTGTGCCTTTGGTCAACATTTTTCAGTAAAAGCCACACAGAAATGTGCTTTAAATGGAAATAAAAGGTGTTTAGCAAAAAACCAAAATTTCTTCAATTTCATTATTTTGACGAGGGCCTAATTTCACCCCAGTGCCTCACAAATTATGTGTGTGTTAGTGTGTTGGAACACGCTGAAATCAGGTGCTGTCAATTTTTGGGGCATATGGGTTATCAGTATCATCGTAAAGATTCTTCATTTGTCTAGCTTATGATGAAAGAAAATTACCCATCTATATCGAACAGAAGTCGAGCTATCTGTGATTGAAGGAAGTGAGGGTTACTTGATGTCAGAGGTACAATTAGCAAGAATACGGACACCAAAATTTGATGACTTTAAAAGCTTGAGTGTCCTTCAAAACTGAAAATTTTTTATTTTTTGAGCCTTTGATCAATATTTTTCAGTAAAATCCACTCAGAAATAAGATTTTAAATGGATATAAAAAGTATTGAACCAAAGCACTGTTCGATTTCATTTTTTAAATGAGAACGAGTGCGTGGAAACACATATATTATTTATAAATGACATCTCAAAGCCATTTCTAGTTGGTGCTACTGATGGTCAGAGACAAAAAAAACACCAAAAACAGGCGGCTGAGGAATGTACCCATTGACATGAACATGACCATATCATGTCTCAATTTAAGACCAAACAAAGAAAGAATTACTCACGTGACTTTTGCAACGGTCTGAGCAGTAAGTTGCTGGTCTTGATGAGCTGATGGTAAAATGTTCTCTCTGAAGCAGCCAGCTCAAACACTGCACTCATCTCAGGAGCCACAGGGTTCAAAACCTGGCAGGCACAGTTGGGGCCCCCAGACATCACCTTGATCACCCAGCCAAGCTGAGGGGAAACAAAACTAACCTATTGTGTCTTTCAAAAGAAATGTAAAAAAAATAAAAAATAAAAAATATTCGAAACACCCTTAAAGATTATCATTTTTGCACCATTCATTATTGTAAGATGGAATTACTTGAAGTTTATCCAGAAAGAAGTGTGAAGAAGAGACATGTTCACTGAGAAAAACAGAATGAGATGCAAATGCACTATTCAATTAAATGACAGACCTGCTTGACTTCAGCCACTGCAGTAGGAACACTTGTCTTTTGCATTGAAGCATGCTTTTCCCTGCTGAAAACACACAAAACAGAGCCAACATAAAGCAAGGAATTTGTCTTTATTGTATCCAGAAACTCAAGTACAAGTACGTGATAAAAGCTGAAAACTAAAAGTTAGTCACAGGCTCCTGCTGCCCCACCAGTAACTTTTCAATAATACTGTTGCATAGATTCTCACTTCTTTAGAGCAGACCGATGTCTCGGGGGGGGGGGGAGATTTTAACGAGCTCAATTCGGATGGCTTTGCGCCAAATGATGATTTACATATCTACCTCATCTAAGGTATCCCAACTCCAAAATTTGAGGGCCCTATTTTGGGATGAAACCTAAAAGTGAAACATACATCACTAAATTTGTCAATTAATCAAAATAAAAGAACTTATTTTGACAGTTCTTCATCTAATGAGAGAACTACTGGTAAAAAAAGAACTGTTTTCGGCAATTACTGAAAACTAATATAACTTTGGAGTCATAAAGTAATAAGCTCAAACAGCTGCCAGCGGCTCACCGACACACTGTGGCTCCAAACATGAGCCACTGGCAACGGCTTGCTGGAGATAAAGAGTGAATGACAGAGTCTAAAGCGTTATTGACAGTTATGGGTAACTATTATAAAATATGGGTAACCATCATAAAACTACAAATTAAAATTGTTAATAACATTAACCTTTGTACTTGCTGAAATACTTCTGTTTTCAAATGTTTAGGGCCCCCCACCATTTCTTGGATTTAAGTAATCAGACATTACTCTTCCGAAGCAAATTCAAACAGACCACCAAGAGCTCTAACAATTTTTAGAATGTTTAATTCTGACTGGTCATCCCATAAAATAACGTGTCTCTACATCACAGTCACAATTACATCTATCCTCATACAAAGATCAAATTATCACTGTAGAAACTAATATGAGCAATGAGCCTGCTCTACCTGGGCTGCTTCCCACAGAAAAAAACATCAGGCTTCATCATGGTGGAATCTCCTAAGAAGAGGGAATGATTGGTGCCGGCTGCAATGTCCCACACCATACAGCCCTTCATGAACTGGAAAAGAGAGAGTAGTAAGAGCAACATGTCATTATTATGAGTCACAAAGAGGCTTCCTCTAGAAAAAAAGTAGAGTAAAGGACATAGAAATATCTGTTTGATCGATTCTTCTCTTCAGTTATTTCATGGAGTTTTAGAGCATTTTTCCCGCTGCAATGGAATTATTTTTGTGCATTGTAATTCATTAAGATATGTAGCTAATCTTATTCTAGAACTTGTGAACTATTTTACAGCTTTTTTTTTTTCTTTTTTTTGGGGGGGGGTCGGCTCAAGGGTAAAACAACATCCTCAACTATGACAAAATGAAATAAAAATCTTCTCTCTTACCTTTAATTGTCAGGTGAAGAATTACTATGACACCCACTATCTTCTGTCCCCCTTCACTAGTCAGGTGAAACATTACCTTGACACGTGTTGGAGCATGCACCAACTCCTGCTGACCCAGCTGACCATATGAGTTGGAACCCCAGGAGAAGACCTGAGAATTGGCAGTCAGTGCCAGGCTGTGCGATTTGCCCGTGGACAGTTTTATCACATGACGACCTGCACACAAAAGTGTATGTTATGGTATGGCATGGTAGGGTAATTACAATAATGTGGAAGGGAATGAATGACACAATATGAAATTAATGAAATATATGGTATAGTATGGCCTGCTCTGTACCGTGAAGTACATTATGATCTGATATAGAATATTTGGCAAGGCTCATTTTGGAATAATACAAGGCTGTGGTGATAGTAGACTGTCAGATAAGACAATACAGGACATTTTTAAAAAAGAGGACAGATTTAAAGGGTAATAACTTGCGATCTTTGCACCAAATGCCACAACAACACACTGATCTCAAACCAACAACTCACCCATGAGCGAGCGGAGGTGTACAGGTTCTGCTCTGTCCAGTGTGTCTCCAATCCCCAGCTGACCGTAGCCGTTCTCCCCCCAGGCCCACACCTCAGTTGCAGTCACAACCGGCTTGATCTTGGGAACCTGTGAAGATTCTGGGGAGTGCACATTACACTGATTCAGTTTTTGTGTGCAGAGAATCTCTTGGTTTATATTTGTTTTTAAGTTTCTGCATTCCCCTTCTTGATTTCTGGGGTAGTCATCTTTAGATTCTCAAACCCAGAGTGTAGCTTAATGTTACACACTATAAGTAAGGCTGTATTTCCTCCAAAATTGTGGTGCCTTTGAGAACTCAAGCAGTATTTATCACTTTGAAGGTACTCTTTACAGGCCTACTTTTCATTTACCTTTAGCTGTCAGGGTGTCTTTAATTAAAGCAATCTGCCCATAGATCCGGTGATTTTTTTGGTCTTTTTTAAAAACTATTGTGCGTTTGTTAACCCCATCTATCCTAGAATCAGGGGAGTGAAAAAACTTGAGCAAAAACCACCTGTCAACAACAGACAATGCCCACATGTACCTAACATCAGACCAGTTACAGTGGCATGAAAGAAAAAGAAACTTACCTCTAGACCGTCTTTTCTTTCCAAAGAGTAATGTTGAGAAATGTACAATGGGTTTTTTTGCAGTCTTTAAAAAAATTGTTTGCTTTATTGAAGAAAAGCCTATAAACAAAATATCAGACACTGAAGTGGACACTATTGAGACAATAACATTTTTTATGCACAGCTATATTTATACAATCAAAATTGTCTGTGCCGGCCATCCAATGTCGATGACAAAAGTGGTTGTCTTAGACATGAGGACGTCTTGGACAGTGCCATTTTAATATTTTAAAAACTCAAGAGGGAAGTGGGAAGTGGTCATTTGTACAGATGATTGTCTTGAATGGGTGGCTGTCACTTACTGTAAGAACAGATTCGACTGTATTAACTAATCTAAGAAGGAATTTTGTGTGTATTAACTTGTTAAATTTTGACAAGTACATCACTGGAGGAAATTATAGCCATGAAAAATCCAGTTCTACCAACAAACAAAACAAAACAAAAACACATTTATTTAAATCCACTGCAATTGTTGTTCTACAGACAAACTCTTATGCAAAGTTTCAAAGAGATTGGAAAGACAGATTTTTCATAATCATTATCATTTCAACCCCATACTCTAGAAATTTAATTTAATGAGAACATTCTTCAAAAATCCCTTGCATGGCTTGTAAGGATTTTGAAGGGGTAAAAAATGTTAAAGAGGGTGTCGTGAAGGGATAATTTTGCATCAGAGTCCACAAAATTGAAGACCTTTAGCCCGTTCAGACCTATTTTAGCCACTCATCATTTTCTGCATTCGTGACCTTATTCAATGTGGTCAGGACATATTTTTTGTCTAGAGATGAAAAAAATGAAAACTCAGTACTGAGGCAACTCAATCTAGAGTGTGTAATGAAAACAAGATGGGCAGACTTTCAGCAATAACTCCCTTGAATATTTTTGTACTTAATTTTTGTTCTCATATCAAGTATGCATCAAGACGTGGTGGACTCTTGGGCATATGAAATTATTGGTGTAAGCTTCATCTCCCCCAGCTGTTGACACTAGCAGAACCAGAGTAAAATACTCTTGTAAAATAAAAAGCTTGCTTAAGACAAATAAGTACTTCATAAATTTAATTAGTAAAATTATTTTTCTAAGGACATCCGCAGTATTAACCCTATCCGTACATCGTGTTTAACTCTCGTATCCATACGATGTGGAGAACTCTGTGCCACCACTTTCCAAAGAGGAAATTTACTCATTAATCCGATCCGTACGTTTTGCATAGTAGTCTGTCAAAATGATTTTTTGAGAAATACTGAAAGTTTCAAAGAGATCTTCACATTAGAAGTATTCTAAAATGTGAAGAATACAACCCTTAAGGTACAAAATGACCCCAGGGCGTACAGACAGGGTTAAGAAAGTGCTGCCTAACCTGTTTTCTAGAAAAACTGAGATTTTCTCGTTGGACACAAAAGTCAGAACCCCTACAACTGGTGCCTGAAAAAAATTCCATTTTAAAGAGAAAGATTACAATTATCCGGTGAACACAACCCCCCCCCCCC